GTTTAAAACAACAGTATTAAATATTCTCAAGGAGCTAAAGGAAAACACAGACAAAGAACTAAAGAAAATTAGGAAAACCCTAAAGGAACAAAACGAGAATGTCAATAAAGAGAAAACTTTAAAAAGAACCAAACAGAAATACTAGAGCTAAAAAGTACAGTAACAGAAATTCACTGGAGGGATGCAACAGCAGATATGAGCTGGCAGAAGAAAGAATCAGTGACTTGAAGATAGGGTGATTGAGATTATCAATTGACATTTACTTCTGGACCATGAGGGAAAGATTAGGCGAGGAAGAATCATTCATGCAGAGATGAAAATGGAAATTTCAGGATTGGGCATGTTCATTGTTGGAGAATGTATAAAGTAAAGGAATAAAAAATAAGGGGTCAGTACAGAATCTTGGTGAATTACTATATTTATCAATTAGTAAGAGAGAGAAAAGTGAACCAAGAAGAGAGAATGAGTTGTTAGAGAATGTGATATGATAACACTAGAACAGTACATTGACACTGAGAGGAAAAATTGATGTTGAGAAATACGGGGAACTTAATGCCAGATGTAGTAGGAACTGAGTAGGAGGTTGAGGGCTAAGGAAATGGTGCAGTGGTTAAGAGCTTGGCTACTAACCAAAAGGTTGGCAGTTTGAATCCACCAGCTACTCCTTCGAAGTCCTATGGGGCTCTTCTACTCTGCCCTATAGGGTCATTATGGGTCAAAATTGACTTGATGGCAGCGGGTTTGGTTTTTGTTTTTGTTTTAGCTTCAAATGAGTTATGGCAGTGGAATTCACATGATAGGAGTTTTTGACTGAATGATTTTAAGGTTCATGGAGGCAGGGATTTTTGTCTTTCTTGCTCACTTATTTTTGTCTGTATTTCTAGTACCTAGAACATTGCCTGCTATAGTAGGCACTCAATGAATGATCCACTGAATGAATCAATGAGTGAGTGGTTTGTGAGGGGAGAAAGCCACTGAATGTAGACTTAAGAACAGTACTCTTCTGAGAAGGTTAGTGGTTAAAAAAAAAAAAAAAAAAAGGGAGAGAGATAGCATGTTGATAGGAGGAGTCATGGAAGATTATTATTTTTTGTTTATATATTTTTAGAAAAAGGAAAAAACCTAAGCTGGTTTGCAGATTGAGCAGTAGAGCCCAGTAAAGAAGAGGTTATGAGAGAATTTGAGGAGGAGATAATATAAGAAGCAAACTCAGAAGTGGGGAGGGTGTGGTATCAGAGATTAGGACATAGGTGAAACCCGAAACAGGAGGAAGGCTACCTCCTTTCCTGAGATAGGAAAAGAAAAGTAAATCAAATTTCTATACAGAATACAATGTAAAATACCATTGCATAGCCAATTCCTGCCAAGTTAGCATTAATGATTTAATTGTGTGGGATTAAGTTACTGTCACTAATAATGCTATCATCTCTCTACATCTAGACAGCTCTCAAGGCAGAAACACTCTTCTGATATGTCAGTATCTTTCTCCATCATTCCCCACTTGCTTGTTTCCTCACCATCCCCATAGATACAGAAGCACTGGATGCGTATAGATGCTTGACTAGTTGACTCTTTGTTGCTGGAAAAGAATTACAAAGACTATTTTAGATGCTGGGTAGTTTCTAGACATGCTCTTACGTTTGGTTTTCTCAGTAGGACTAAGAAAGTATGTTAGTAGGAAATAATGGCTGCCTTTTTGAAAGCAAACAGCTTAGCACTGTTGTGGTCCATCTTCTCTCCAATTTGATAGCTTGTTATATATAAGGACAAAGAGGTTAATACACCTCTTTCAAAGTATAGGCTTTGGTAGTAGATTTAAGCTCAAAATACATTTTTGTAAATCAGTTGTTTCTCAATTATTGACCATTAAATTGCTTTATTTAGAAATAATTAGCGAGAGTTGTAAAAATACTTATCCGCTCTTGTTCAGGTTTTCCTCTTTTGGTATTGGGAAGTGTTTTCAGTAGAGATGCACAAATCAGGTGCCTTAATGTACTCATGATATTAAAGGTTAAAACAAATTTTTTCTCCATCCGATTTTCATACTGTAGTTAACAGTCAAAACAATTTTTTTTTTTACTTTCATTTTTGTTTTATTGTACTTCAGGTGAAGGCTTACAGAACAAATAGTTTCTCATGAAACAGTAGTACGCAAATTGTTTTATGACATTGGTTAACAACCCCACAACATGTCAACCCTCTAACTTCTCAACCTTTTTTTTTGGTGAAAATACACATAGCCAAAGATACACCATTTCAAACATTTCTACATGCACAGTTCAGTGACATTGACTACGCTCTTCCAATTGTGCTGTTATTCTCACTTAAGATGAAGGCTTACAGAACAAAATAGTTTCTCATTTAACAGTTACTACAAATGTTGCCCTATGACAATGGTAGCAATCTCACAACACATCAACAATATCCTTACTCAACCTTGGGTTCCCTATCACCAGCTTCCTTGTCCCCTTCTGCCTTCTGGCCCTTGTCACTGGACTCCTGTACCTCATTAGTCCCATTTGGTTTTACAGGGCTGTCCACTCCCAGGCTGGACGCTGAACGTCGGAGATAACTTCACCACTGAGCTAAAAGGGTGTCTGGGGACCATGCTCTCGGGGTTTCTCCAATCTCCTTTAGGCCAGTAAATCTGGTCTTTTTTTTGTGAGTTAGAATTTTGTTCTACATCCTTCTCCAGCTCTGTCCAGAACCCTCTGTTGTGATCCTGTTGACTTTCATTTTTGTAAGGTCAGCCTAACTCAAGACAGTCTTCACTCTGTTCCTATATCATGGCCAACAGCCTGATAATCTTCAACTCAGGGTTTGGCTATAGAATGATTTTTGCCGGCAATCTCAGATAATGATGTATGAATTGGACATGAAACTTATTATCTTCCTTTTCTATCATGACCTCCATCCAAAAGGTGGCACAGTGGTTAAGAGTTTGGCTAGTAACCGAAAGGTCCGCAGTTCGAATCCACCAGCCACTCTTTGGAAACCCTGTGGGGCAGTTCTCCTCTGTCCTATAGGGTTACCATGAGTGGAAATTGACTCAATGGCACGGGTTAGGTTTTTTGTTTAGACTGATTATAGAAAAAATAACTTAGCTTGAAGAACTGTTACTCTTTCTCTGGTAAAATGCCCTTGAATGTTAACTTGAAAATAAGATATGTTAAACTTCTACTACAGTGGTACTATTTCAACCAAGGGAATTAAATTTCTGAAACGGCCTAGGGTAGAATTAATTGAAGAACTTCAGAGTCCTTATGGGGGAAATACATTAGGTTTAAATTCAGTATACAAAATTAATAGACTATTAATGGCATGTTACTCAGCTTGAATAATAATGAGTGTATTTATCATTTCTTGTCTTATACTCTTAAGGGTTTTGTCTTCCCCATAGTTTCATAGTTTGCATTTTTCAAGTGTGGCCCTTTATCCACATATCTAGTGCCTTTCTAATTTTGTGACTGGGAGTTGTTGATACCCACTTCCTTCCTTCTACTGGAGTAGAAGATATAGATTAATATGTATGCTTGAAATGCAAAAAAAAAAAAGTATTTTTTCAAGCCCCTCTTCCCATGCTCAAGCACATGAAGTCAGACCTTCTTATATACATCTCAGCTCTGTCTTTTCTTGTATATACTATTTCCCCAGACTTAAAATTCAAAGAAGTTATTTTAATAGCCTCACATTTACAACATTCACATTATGCCTTATTTGTTAATGCTTTGGGTGTGTGTATGTGTGTACATATGTGTGTGCATACTTATTTAATATTATATAGTCATACTCTACGGTCTCTGGGTGGTACAAACATTTTGTGCTCAGATGCTAACTGAAAGGCTGGTGGTTTGAACCTACCCAGTGGCACTGCAGAAGAAAGTCCTGATGATCTGCTTCCGTAAAGATCACAGCCAAGGAAACCCTATGGAGCAGTTCTACTCTGTAACACACGGGGTCACCATGAGTCAGAATCTAGTCGACAGTAACAGATTTTTTTTAGTCATATTCTGGCATTTTGTCATTTCATTAACTCTGTGCTTAAACTCCTCTAGCATTAGCTACATTCACGGCAAAGTTTTGGTGTAGACACATCCTGCAAAGTTTAGCTCACTTGCTTGTTGTATCAACTTAATAACATGTTTTCCAGATACTAGCGTACCCATCTTATCCTCATAGAGAGGCTTTATAAACGTGTTCTATGTACATGATATCAAAGTAAACATAGCTTGTCCTGATGTTAGATTAGATATGTATAAGAAAGTGGAATAATTAGGTGAAATTGTGAAGGTGCACACGATTTTTAGGTATCCATGAACTTTGGATATAAGCTTTGAACTTCAGAGGATCTACTTTAGCAACCACTTGGGAATCATTTGTTTCAGGTACTATAGTTAAGTAATATGCATTTCTTTAGCAACTCTCTTTAGTCTGGAGACCGTTTTTAGCTCAAACAAGAAAGTTTTACCGTATTTTCATTCACAGATACAGAAGCATCATTTTAACAATGACTGTTGTTTGTGGTGGTGCAAGTATCTTAAGATGCAGAGCCTGAAGTGTTGGTTTTCGCTTGGTCGGTGACCCTTGCCATTTGTGATCGGACGATAACTATGAGGCCCTTTCACTTCTTTCCAGACTGTCTTCCAGATTGGTGCTGTTTCTTCTCAACTGCCCTCCTTACCCCTCCCACCCAACTGCATTCTGAAAATAAATGTTTGCCTCTTGCTTCCTTTTCCTCTGGGCCTTTTAAAATACTATGGAAAATAATTTTGTATGTGCATAGAAGGGATTAGGAATATGTCAGTGCGTTTGGGCTAAGACAGTTGTGATACATGTTTTAGCGTTGCATAAGGCATTTATTCTTTGATTTGCTCAGAGGAATGGTGACAGCATTGGGAGTGCCTAGGTGAATAAGTGGTGAGAACATCACCTGAGTGTCCAGTCTTACAATCAGCCTTTTTGCTGACAGTTTGTTTTTTTTTTTGACTGCTGTATTGCAGCTGTTGAAAATGGACAGATAGATGTGTTAAAGCTGTTGATTCAGCACGGAGCAAATGTTAATGGATCCCATTCTATGTGTGGATGGAACTCCTTGCACCAGGCCTCTTTTCAGGTAACTTCTGCATTTATTATTTCATTTCCATGTAAATTGTGTGTCTTACCCTTTTAAAATGACAGATCCATACAGTTTGTGCTTCCTACTTGCCTGTGATTTATGATGGTTAGTCCAGTACAGAGAAGGCAGTCTAAATGCTAATGATCGTTCTGAATGAGCCAGCTGCTCTAGTAGCTGCAGTGGGTTTGGGGCAGTGGGGATTATCTATGTTTTCCAAACGTTGATAGCGTAGTTGAGCAACCATCAGAATACTTGGGATATAAATTGACAAAGTGCAATGGCTTATTTTATTTATAGCAGTGTGTTTAGGAACTGTGATAGCTCCTTAGTGGCTTGGTTAGCAAGCTAATTTGGCGGGACTTATAAGGATTAGAATGTCTAGAGGTCACTGCTTCATCTGTGTGTGTTTAATGGGCTAACTGGAGGTATAGGATAATCTGATTGTTTGACCACTGTCTTCCCATCCAATACAGCAATGCATTTTTTTTTAAGTGAGAAAGATAAAAAAAGAAAACAAACAAAACACACAACAATAAGAAAAAAGCCATCTTCTGTTTTCTCTTATTTACAATATGAACCTGTGCTTTAGGAAAATGCTGAGGTCATAAAATTGCTTCTTCAAAAAGGAGCAAACCCGGAGTGCCAGGATGACTTTGGAATCACACCTTTGTTTGTGGCTGCTCAGTATGGCAAGCTAGAAAGCTTGACCGAACTGATTTCATCAGGTAAGATGGATCCATTAGCCTTTGTACTGTTCACATCATGAGTTTTAACTTTGTATATTCCTAGGAAGAATAATTCTTGACCAGATATAAATTAGGTTGTGAAATTTAATGGTTTTATGTAAGTGGTAAATAACAGTAAACACAAGCTGATTTATAGGCTTGGTTACTAAGTGTCTGTTACGAGCATAATGCAATACAGGGCTGCTAATTTATCTGAGTGGGAACATGATGGTCTATCACTAAAGCAAGTTCATTGGTAAGTTAAATGATGGGACTGTCCTTTCTTATAGGGATCTAAGAAGTTCCCACTCTCTAGGGCACAAGACTATTTTAGGCTTAATTAATTTATTTGAAAGCTATTTTGTATATTAAGCCTTTGAGTTGTATGTTTGGATCAATTGCATGTTTATTTAGATGGATTTATTTCAATGCAGGTTTATACTTGATTATGTTAATAGCAACATAAACCTGTGAAAGTTTCCTCCATGACAGCCGTTATGCGTTCAGCATTGCCAGAGAAGATGGTGTTGAGGTGGCATTCCTACTCTGTGACATTTCTGTGACCACAGATGTTTTGTTCCAGAGGGACTTTTTTTTTTTTAATTTTTTATTGTACTTTAGGTGAAGGCTTACAGAACAAACAGTTTCTCATGAAACAGTAATACACATATTGTTTTGTGACATTGGTTAACAACCCCACAACATATCAACCCTCTCCCTTCTCGACCTTTTTTTTTTGGTGAAAATATACATAGCCAAAAAACCATTTCAAAAATTTCTACATGCACAGTTCAGTGACATCGACTATGCTCTTCCAGTTGTGCTGCTATTCTCACTTTAGATGAAGGCTTACAGAACAAAATAGTTTCTCATTTAACAGTTACTACACATGTTGCCCTATGACAATGGTTAACAACCTTACAACACACCAACACTATCCTTACTCAACCTTGGGTTCCCTATCACCAGCTTTCCTGTCCCCTTCTGCCTTTTGGCCCTTGTCCCTGGACTGCTGTGCCTCATTAGTCCCATTTGGTTTTATGGGGCTGTCCACTCCCCGGCTGAACGGTGAACCTCGGAAATGACTTCACCACTGAGCTAAAAGGGTGTCTGGGGGCCATACTCTCAGGGTTTCTCCAGTCTCCTTTAGGCCAGTAAATCTGGTCTTTTTTTTGTGAGTTAGAATTTTGTTCTACATCCTTCTCCAGCTCTGTCCAGAACCCTCTGTTGTGATCCCGGTCAGAGCAGTCAGTGGTGGTAGCCGGGCACCATCTAGCTATACTGGACTCAGTCTGGTGGAGGCCTTGTAGCTGTGGTCCATCAGTCCTTTGGACTAATCTTTTCCTTGTATCCTGTTCTCTTCATTCTCCCTTGCTCCCGAAGGGATGAGACCAGTGGAGTATCTTAGATGGCTGCTCACAGGCTTTTAAGATCCCAGACGCTACTCACCAAGGTAGAATGTAGAACATTGTCTTTATAAACTGTGTTATGCCAGTTGAGCTAGATGTTCCCCGAGACCATGATCTCCAAACGGACTTTTAAACTCTCTCCGAACACTGTGTATGCACTCACAGTGCTAACCTGACGAAGATGGGTTGTTGAGAGACCTAGGGAAATGCTTCCAGATTGCTGGTGGCTTTTTAGTTTGTTTTTGTTATTTCGGCTTTTTATAAACTACCTCTAAGTATATAAAGCAAAGTTTATTTAGGCAGAAGGGTGTATATTTTCTTATTTCTGCTGTCTCCTTACCAACCTTCTGATACTCAAGATGAAATAAATAAAAGAAACAAACATTCAGTAAGTGCCAATTTAAAGTATCTGTTATAAATACTGAGTCTATAAACCTTGGAGTTGAGAAGAATCTCCAAAATCATTTATTCAAACACGTATTTGTTTAGATTAAGAATCCCAATTTAAGTGCCTTGCCAGAGATCTAGAAACTATTTCCTGGCAGAATTAGGGTTTGGACCCAGGGCTTTTGACTTCTGATCTTCCTCCTTCTACTACATTGTACATTCCTGAGGACTACCCTAATTTAATCTCTGATTTCTAGTCCCATAACCCATTGCCGTCGAGTTGATTCCAACTCGTAGCAACCCTAGAGGACAGAGTAGAAATGCCCCATGGGGTTTTCAAGGAGTGGCTGGTGGATTCGAACTACCGACCTTTTGGTTAGCAGCAGAGCTCTTAGCCACTGAGCCACCAGGGCTCCTCTAGTCCCATAAGTTCCAGTAATTAGTGTCTAATATTTAGAATAAAATAGGTTAATCTGCACCTTAAGGGCTCTGTCCTCATGCTGAATCTGTCTCCTGTTACCTAGAACGCTAAGCTCCTGTTTTACTTTGTTCTTTTTTGTTTTCTTTTCTCCTCTCTGAGTAATTAAGAACAGCCAGTAGAAAAAGGTATGTTTATAATGTGACTATAGATCTTTCCAACTCCTTAAAATAGTTTTCCTTTCAGTTAATTATCCATGGTTTTCCCAACCTTTTCATATGTAATCTTAGAGGGACTTGTTCCTTATTTTTTCTGATACTTTGAAATTATCAATCAAAATGAAGCATTGATTAAAAACAAAGTTAAGAAGCTTTCTTTGTTGATTTAATCTCTTCTCAGTAATGGTGCTCACTTTTTTCCTGAGTCTGGCAGAAGATGAAGCATCTACCAAGAGTAAATCAAGAAGATTCTAGTTGTCTATATGTGTTGAATGTCCATTTGGGATTTCTGAAGGCTCCATAAACTCTTTTTTTTTTCTTTTTTTTTTTTAAATTTTATTGTGTTTTAGGTGAAAGTTTACAGCACAAATTAGTTTCTCATTCAAAAATGTATGCACAAATTGTTTTGTGACATGGGTTGTAGTCCTTGTGATATGTCAGCACTCTCCCCCTTTCACTTTCCACCCCGGGTTCCCCATGTCCATTTGTCCAGGTTGCCTGTCCCTTGCTGCCCTGAAGGTTCCATAAACCCTTAAACTTACTGTTTGTGTTTTGCATAGTTTTTATCCCTCTCAGGACTTTGGTGTATTCATGGTGCGTTTATGGAGCAGCCTTTTAAATAAAAGACAGGCATTTTCCCCTTGATAATTATTTTTCCACTGAGATATAGTCTAGAAAATTTAAAATTCCCACAGTCATGTAATAACACCATACTTATCATATTTAGCACATTATTTGTCACTGAGAAATGTTTGGGGACATCTGCTATTTTTAAAACCTTCACAAAAATTCAGGTCATTTTCAGCTTTTCAGATCTTCTTTACATGTTGGTGTCTGAACAACTTGATTGGACTTAAGCTTTTTAAAATCAACTCAGAACCCATTTAAATATACCTTTTCCTTTTATTGTGGGTTTTATTTATCATTTAATGGTCATGAAAGAAAGGGACGTCATACACAGTACAGTCAACACTAGTTTTAAGGCATAGCCACCATGATGTGTCATATCTCCTGGTAATTATTTTCATAAATCTTAGTCTGAAGTGATTAGTTGCGTGTATAAAGTGTCATAGTTTAGAATTCTTCTAATCTTTTGCAGTAATTATCAGAAAGTTTATCCATTGTTGATGATTTACATTTTTCCTTTTTAAACAGTTACTTATTGGATCCAAAGAGTGCTTGTTAGAGGAGGGATTAGCATGAAATGAATCCTTCATTGAATAGGATTTTTGTTTTAGCTTAAAAATGAATTCTGAAGCGTTAGTCACTTGTTTTCTTGCAGACATAAAAGCAAAAACAATTAAAGTGATTACCAACAAGCTAGCAAAATAAGTATCTGTATTCAGCAGTATCCACTGAGGGGGAAAATACTGTCCTGTGAAACCCTTGTATGGCAGCTGCTTTGAAATTTCTGTTGACCGTAATGGTCTTCTGCATGCGTAAATGAGGATTACCTGTCTCATGCTTTATTTTGTCTTAGGTGCAAATGTCAATTGTCAAGCGTTGGACAAAGCGACTCCTTTGTTCATTGCTGCTCAAGAGGGTCACACAAAATGTGTGGAGCTTTTGCTGTCCAGCGGGGCAGATCCTGACCTTTACTGTAATGAGGACAATTGGCAGTTACCCATTCACGCAGCTGCACAAATGGGCCATGCCAAGTAAGTGTTAAAAACAGGAAATAAAACCGGGGTCATTGTTAAAAGACCCTTCACCTCCAAGCAGAAGTCTTAGGATTCCTTTCCCTACCAGTTGCTAGGTGACTCTTCACCCCTAATCTGTCCCCTGCACCGTCCCCAAGCAGAGTAGCTAGAGATGGGGTAGCACCAGGGACCTTCTCAGAGGGTTGAGTCTTCCCTCTGGGTTATTTGGCGTTGGCCATGGTCCCCCTTCTTCCCAGTGTTATCTCAGACATCTTTAGGCAGCAGTCTGATGGTGCTCTTCACTCATTTACTTTACCTCCCTGACTCTGGAATGCTTTTGAGTTTGTAACCCCTTCTGGAGTCGAGTCTTTTCTTTTGTACATGCTAGGTAGTCCTCCCAGTATTGAACCCCTTGACGGGACTTCTGTATTTAGTCTCAAGTCCACCCCAGTATTTTCCCCTGCCTCTGTTATTCTTCTTTATTAGCTAGAAGTTCCCATGAAATTATTGGTATTTTCTGGAGGGAGAGGGACTTAAGAAAAGTTGGAGCTCCCTGAAACTGGGGATTCTAGTATCTTTGGAAGCTAGTATGTTGTCGTTAGGTGCTGTTGAGTCAATTCTGACTCATGGCTACCCCATGCGACAGAGTGGAACTGCCCTATAGGGTTTTCTTGGCTGTAATCTTTACAGAAGCAGATTGCCAGGTTTTTCTCCCACAGAGCTGCTGGGTGGGTTCGAACCGCCAGCATTTCTGTTAGCAGCCAAGCGCTTAACCATTTGTGCCACATCTTTCACATGGGGTCGCTATGGGTCGAAAAGGAGTCTGTGGCACACAGCAACAGCAAAACATTTAGTATGTTTTACAGAGTAGGAAGACAGATTCTGTGGCTTGGTTATTATGCCACTAGGTGGACGTTACTTCACTGTTTCCTTATAGGTAGATTGTCCTTGGTAGAAGATTTTTCCAACCCATTTAAAAAAATTAAACACATTCATTAAATTTAAGATGCTGTTAGACAGACTATTTCAACAAAATACCTAGGTTTTATAATTTGATATTTTTCTTATTTTTGATCATTTATTTAAATATAAATCTTACATACAATTTTTTAAATAGCACTCTGAGCTTTCAGTTGGTGCTAAAACTTTCTTGGGAATTTGTCCTCAATTTTGAGAATTATGTTTGTCACTGATAATTTCCTTCCTAACCTAGTTCTAAGGTACCCACTTCTGTGAATGTAAAGTCTTCTTAAATATTATTATCTTAGACCTGCCTTACATAAGGAAAAGTGGCAAAGAGAAAGATAATGTTACAAAGATAATTTTGGAGTAGCGCTACCTGTCTTTTCCCAGAAAGAGAGGGAATTTCCCTGTTGCTTTAAGTGTTCGGCTGCTAACCGAAGGTCTGTGGTCTGAACCCACTAGCCGCTCTGCAGGAAAGAGATGGGCAGTCTGCTTCTATAAAGATTACAGCCTTGGAAACCCTATGGGCAGCTCAACTCTGCCCTACATGGGGGCTATCAGTCGGAATCGACTCGATGGCAATGGTTTTTTTTTTTTTGTTATCCTTAGAGTTTTATTTTATTTTTAATTTTATACAAGTCCTTTCCCTGGCTGACTGCTGGAGGTAAAGTAACATAAGAACTTAAGTTTGAATGGTTTCCTTTAAAACTTTATCTACCTAGCAACCCACTCCTTTACAAATTGGTGTCAACATTTAAAGAGTTCATAATCTTTTCAGAGAATAGAATATTGTGAACAACATAAGCAGAAATTATGATGTCTTCCTGATGAAAATGTTATTCTTATGTCATTCACCATCTTTAAAAATTCTTACTAATTAGAAAAATGAAACTTAGTTGGTACTTTAAGAAGGAAAATATTTTCTTGATGCAAGTTTATATTTAGTGCAATGAAGTTTTAAATACTGGTAGTGGGAAGGTAAACAATTAGCGAAAAAATTCTAAAGGAAAACATATTATCTGTTTACTTATAGAAACATAATTCTGTTTCAGATATTTCAGGATCTTAGTATTAAGCAACAATAATAAGTATAACGTTTTGGAGTAACTGTAGCATGTGGAGCCCTGATGGCATAATGTTTAAGAGCTGGGCTGCTAACCAAAAGGCTGGCAGTTAGAATCTACCAGCCGCTCCTTGGAAACCCCATGGGGCAGTTCTACTCTGTCCTATAGGGTCCTTATGAGTTGGAATTGACTCGATGGCATTGGGTTTGGTTTTTTTCCTTGGTTACGTAGCATGTAGTAATTTTAATGTAGGTAGAAGATACACTGAAGATAGAAGAATTCTTAGAGTCCATCAGTAGTCGACTGTTAAAATATGTGCTGTAAAAATGTTTGTCTACCCTCATATACATATAAAAACATTAAATGCTTCTGAATTTATGTATTTGCAGAGTCTTGGAATTGTTAATACCATTTACTAACCGGGCCTGTGACACTGGGCCAGACAAAGTGAGCCCTGTTTACTCAGCGGTCTTCGGAGGGCATGAAGATTGCCTAGAAATACTACTCCAGAATGGCTACAGCCCAGATGCCCAGAAGTGTCTGGTCTTTGGCTTCAATTCTCCCATGTGTATGGCTTTCCAAAAGGAGTATGTATATTGACTGTATTTTTATTCCTTTTTTGCAATATGGAGATGAGAGTCCCTGTGTGGTGCAAGCGGTTAAGCGCTCAACTATCCAGAGGTACCTCGGAAGACAGGTCTGGTGATCTGCTTCTGAAAGGTCACAGCCTTGAAAAGTTGGAGCAGTTCTACTCTGCACACATGGAGTCGCCATGAGACGGAGTTGACTCCACGGCAACTCACAACCACAACGAATAATGGAGATGCTTTCCTAGGGGCCTTCTTTCATGGCGAAACTATCTTTGTTGGTGCTAAACTGTTAACTTAAAAACAGAAAACAGACAAGCAAACAGGAAAAAGCTCTGTGATGCACCTTGTTCAGTAAAGCTGTAGGAAATGAGGTGGTAATACCAAGATTTTTTTCCTTCTCTCTTTGGATCTGGATTTCATTTTTAGTATAGTAATAAATGCAGAAATTCTATGATATCCTTGGCCTTCAAAACAATTTAAGAATTGGAAATGGGACTTTATCAAGTAAGGCAGTGACTGTATTTCAGGCTTTAATTATTATTTGAAATTTGTATTTATAAGATGTGTTCTGAGCCTAGAATAATACTTTAGTATTATATATGTTGTTGCATTTTCAGTATATTTGATGTGTGGCATTTCTTTATGTGAGTCAGAGTATTAAAAAATTTTTAAAAATATTTGTGTTACCACTTCGACATAATCCTGTGGGGTGAAAATAAATGAAATGAAGAATTACTGCTGCTTTACTAGCTTCTGGCCAACAACTTGTCTATAAGATCCCCAACTTTTTAAAATAGAGAGTAAGCGTAAGGCTTTTGTAAGAAAAGGCATATTGGGTAATATCTATGGTCTGTTCAATAATGGAATAAGTCGTGCAGGGAGATCCTACTGTTTTTAATGATGCAAAAGAGATTGCAGGCCTACCTCACATTTCATTGGCTTTCTGGACATTTAAATATTTACTGAAAACTTATTTACTAGGCTTTTCAGTCTTTACCATCTCTTAATCAGATACAAAACTTAAACATTTGCTATGTAAAATAATAGTTCATTTTGTTCGTCCTGAATTTAAGCATCCAGGTATACATGTTACTCTGAGTGTTTGGGGATTTGATTAATAAGGATATGCTTACCTTATGCATAACTTTCGTGATATCATAGAATTTCATTGAATACCCCCAAGTGTTGTCTTTCTAAACAGAAGAGCACTAACTACTTTCAGTTTACCTTCAGTAAGACTGCATGATGACTTTTTTTTTCAGGTTTCATTGTCAGTACCGTATCTAACTCCATTATACATGTCATTTTTATTAGATCAGAGTTGCATGTTTTTTATTAGATCAGAACATAATGCTTTTGGATAGTTTGTGAAGGTGTGTCTGCAATGTAATAATGATGGTCGTTGTGGACCTTCATCTTAGGAATGGTTTCTTGGTCTTTTCTGTCACAGCAGTTAAGCTTATGCCTCAACATCTTTAAGTGTAATTTGAGTAAAACCTGTATTATTTTATTCAGTTAACTTTTTAGCTCAGGATCAGCATTCCGAAACATTTTTGCTGGGTATCCCCTGGAGAGGATGAGCTTCCATTTGAAGCAGTGACCTTTAACTCTTCTCAGCGCACCAACGCCTGAAGGAAAGGTGTCTCCACTGTACAGGTCTGCAGCAAAAGCGGTCCCTGTCCTTTGGGGCTAAAAAGTTAACAGCTGCAGTGACATGAAGCCTGTCTTTCAAACGCACAGTTGAGCTATTCAACTCACAGGAGAAAATGAAAGAAAAGGATTCCTTCAACTAGGATAGGTGAAAGAAGAGGGAAGCTGAGAAATTTCAGGACAGTTTGAACAAATATGAATGCCTTTTGTATATGGCTGTAGGAGAGGGACCGTGGCTTAGCTGAGCTGATGTTGTCTGTCTTTCTAAGTGATACTGATCATTTTAATCAGATTTGCCTCATAGAAGTCATTGTGTCCATTGTAGTCATCGTTTCAAACGTGAATACGTCTGACAAATGTCTTCATGTCTAATGTATAATGTCTTCATTTTATTTTCAGCTGATGGCTGACAGAAAGCACTCAGTAAAACTTACTACATGGCCTTTTGATATTTAGCTAATAGTTGGTTAGATAGTTTGTTGGCTAATTGAACATAAAATGCTTGAAATGTTTGCCCATTTCTCTCTCTTTGTTTAAAATAACTTTTTTCATGTTGAATTTCCTCGTACTGTGCACTGTTTCTCTGTGCGTGTTTGAACTGCAAAGAGGAGAATGGTGGAAAATGTACAGGCTCCCTCAAAGATCTCGGCATTGATGACTTTTTTAGTTTTTCAGCCTCTCCTCTTCCTCAGTATCTGATGATGTACACTCTTTATATAACGTGTAATTTCTCAGTGTGTCAGTCAGTTCTTGATGTTTATGTTAAACGTGATGCACTGTTTCTTTTCACTCTCTTGGACTTGAGGCGTTTTCCTGGTTCTCTGTCGAGGCCTGAGAGAAAATCTGTAGAAGTGTTCAGGGAAATACATACGTATGTCTATGTAATTTATATTTTAACCAAAGGTTATATAAGCCTCGGAAGAAAGGCCTGGTGATCTACTTCCAAAAGGTCACGGCCACTGAAAACCCTAGAGAGTGCAGTTCTACTCTGAAACACATGGGGTCGCCATGAATCAGAATCGACTGGATGGCAGCTTGGGTGGGGGATCGAGCCCTAAGGTCTACTGTGTGCTCAATGACATGTAATAATCAAGGTAATATGCAGCCCTGGAGTTTCTTGCATTTCTGGAGCTTGTGTATTTGAGACTTTTTAATAATCTTCCACGTTTAGCAGGGACCCCAGAGTTCAGGACATGCTGACAAAGTTCTGTGATCCTCCAGTTTATTCTGTGCTTGTTATTCTCCATGTAAATGGTAGTTTTGTTGGAAAGCGTCTGTATTGTAGCGCTGGACAGTTTCATAAGCTCTCTGGGAAGGCGTACTCTTGCCCATTCTAATGCAAGGCAGTGAGAGTGATTGGACGTTTAGAACTGGATTTTCCAAAGTCCGTTTTGTCAAATATTAATTCTGTAGATTATTAATAAATATTACATGGGGTGAAAGGAGTTGTATAGTTAATTAAGTTTGGAAAACAGGGTTAAACAATGTTAAATAGGTCTCTTTCCTGGAGGGCTTTTAAGAACTTTTTTTTATGGTGATGTGGTTTATCAATTCCTAAGAAGGGAGTGGATCTACAAAGGTTTGAAAAGTCTGGAGACGTATGATAAGCTGATGTTTACAATAAATACGGTTTTCCCTGAGTTTATACACTTTGTAGGTGTGTTACACTCTGTTTATGATGGTTTTCTCAGTTTAACTGTTGGATCCGTTGCTTTAGTTTTAAAGGAACTTCTGAAAAGGTGTCTGGAAGTTGAGCAATATGTATGTATATCAAACATATAATTTGAAAATGTAACTAGCATACTGTTTTTTTTTTTTTATTGTAGTTAAAGTGAAAGTTTACATTTCAAGTTAGTGTCTCATACAAAATTTTATATATACATTGTTATGTGACCCTAATTGCTCTCCCTATACTGTGACAGCACAGTTCTCCTTTCCACCCGATTTCCTGTGTGCATTCAACCAGCTCTTGACCCTCTCTGCCTTCTCATCTCACCTGTGGACAGGAGCTGCCCATTTAGTCTCATGTATCTACTTGAACTAAGAAGCACACTCTTCACGAGTATCATTTTATGTCCCACAGTCCAGTCCAATCTTTATCTGAAGAGTTGGCCTCGGGAATGGTTTTAGTTCTGGGTTGACAGAAAGTCCAGGAGCCATGCTTTCTGGGGTTCCTCAGTCTAGCATACTATTTAAAAGTAACTTAATTCTGTATTTCTCTGCTTTTAGGACTCCCTGTATCATATATCCCAAAAGCAAACTCACTGCTGTTGAGTTGATTCCAACTCATAGCAACCCTGCAGGACAGGGTAGAACTGCCACATAGGGTTTCCAAGGCTGTAAATCTTTACAGAAGCCAACTGCCATCTCTCTCCCATGGCTGGCAGGGTCAAACCGCCGACCTTGCGGTTACCAGTTGAGCACTTAACCATTGCGCCACCAGCACTACTGTATAGTGTCTAAGGGTTCTCAAATTTATTTCATTACAGAGCCTTTTTATATGGAACATTGTCAGGGACTAGGGTTCCATGGAACATTCTTTGGGAAATGTAAGGCTGGCATTAAAATATTCCCCAATTTGACTATTTCAGGAGGTGTTCAGCTTAGTGATAGAGAAGATATTTTACATGTTTGCTGTATCATATTCACTGTTAGATTTTGATTTGATATATTATCGCAGCTCTATCAGTTACTAGCTCTGTAACTCAACTCAGTGGTTGCATCTAAAATAGGGATAATAATAGAACCTATTTCCTAGGGTTGCTGTGAGGATAAAAGAAAATCACGAATGTAATGCGTTTAGTGTAGTGCCTGGTACAGAGTAAGTACTCAATAAAGTTTGCTATTATAGGAAATTATATGTGCACACATTCCTCCCACAGCTTTAGAGATGGATGCTTTATCTTTTGGCACTGCCAAAATTAAAATTTTATTAGCATGATGCACAAGCCTAGGTGCTGTATTGAAATTTTAATAAGAAAGCTACTGGTTTTAGTTTTTTTCCAAATGGAAAAGGGCTAAAGTACCTATCTGTAGCACTTAATCTAATAAGGTGCGTTTAGAGGCTATCAACAGTATATACTCACCGTTTTATTTCGTAGCAAAACTATGTCCTCTGGACTCAGTCGCTAAAGCTGCTGTTTCTATGGTTAGGCTGTTGATGGTTTCAGATGGCTCGAGGGAAGAATTCCACCAGTCCCTGAATGGCACCTGTGAATACACGCGCCTGAAAAATCGCCTGACTTCTGAGAATTGTATGTCACGTCTGTAAGGAGGCAGTGTCTTGAGCCTTGCTCACAGTTTCCTTGCATATTTTTTGGAACATGTTCAACAGTCCATGTGTGGCTTGTCTGTTCTATAGCAGCATCAGCAAGTAATAACTGCAGGCCAAACAATGAGAGCCTAGTCAAATGAGGTCAGAGTGGTTGAAATAAATTGGTGGTAGCTGTTTAGAACCATCAGTCAGAGGCATATCCTGGAGCATTTCTGGTAGTGCATGTCTTCTGGCAACAAATTCTCTCAGCTTTTGTGTATCTGAAAGCAGCTGGGGAAGAATGCCCATTACGCACAGGGCTGCTTTCAAGAACAATGATATGAACGTTGGCTGCCTTCTCATCAGGAACAGATAGCCAGATGTCAGACAGGCAACAAAGTTACTGTTTTTTTCTTTTTTTTATACAAATAAACTATGGAATTATAGATTTTTTTCTTTTTCTAATTGCTGTGTAAATAATTAATAGTGAAGAGATTCATGCTTACTTTTTTTAGCTAAAGAGAAAGAACACGAATTGAAGAATAAATAGATTTATAAAGATATGCCTAGGTTAGGTAAGGAGCCCTGGTGGCACAGTGGTTAAGCGCTCGGCTGCTAACCAAAAGATCAGAGGTTCAAACCCACCAGCCACCCCGCAGAAGAAAAATGTGGCAGTCTATCGTTAGCTGCTTAGGGTCCATGCCCTGGAGCAGTCGAGCGATTAAACATACTCTGAGTCAGAAGGAGAGAGGATGTTTCTTGGGAGGTGACACTAACAGGGAGTCTGACAGCAACACAGGCTGTCTTTATGGAGTCCCGAAAGGCAGTTTTACATTCGAGCTTATATATGGCTGGTACAAGGGTTACAAGGGTCTTTTTGGCACATAGCCCACAGATGGCATGGCTGGATGAGTTATTCATTACAAGATAATTACAAGGGACTCTTTATCAGACCAAAGAGATACATGCCGGACATCTCCTTATCAGGCTAAAGATACGCACGTCAGACTTCTGGGCTCTGATCTTCATGGGTGGGGGGTTGTAAGTCACAGGTGGCTGGACAGAACAAAACAAAGTCATTAACAAGGGTATGCGGAAAGGACAAGGCAGGCAGAAAAAAACAGGTTCATCATGGCGTTGGTTATGTCAAGCTCTCAATCACCCATTCTGAAAAGGAGAAAACATGTCGTGGAGGATTAGGGTCACAGTCTGCTTTGGTAAAGATTTACAGCCTTTTGGAAACCCTGTGGGGGTGGTTCTACTCTGACCTACAGGCTCGCTGTAAGTTTTTGCCTGGGTTAGGTGACATTTTACTTATGTGTATAGTGTCATAACTGCTTAAAACCTTGATTTTAAGCTCCAAACACAAGTCCTCAGAAGGAATTGGTCTCACTGATGGTGAGTTAAACATTTTTATTTTATCTAAAATTTTTGTGCCTCTTACTTAGGTTCGATGATACTATGATGAATGAAATATTTCTTTTTCTTGTATAAAATTATTATAACATTGATGCCAATTTTAAAAGTGGAATAATTTTATTCTTTTTTTTTTTTGCAGTTTCTACACAGCAAACAAACATGTTTACTAAATTTTGTTACAGTTATAATGTTATAAGCAGTTTTTGAAACCTGGTTACTCAACCATCATAATTACAGTTTTAAACAATTGTGTAATATTTCATGCTTACCTGTTCCTCTGTTGTTGGACATTTAGGCCATTTCTTCTTAAAAGTCTGTTATAGACAATACTGTGTTTTCTCTGTTACAGATAAAATGTATTTGTGCAAATAGGATTTAAATTCTTTAGAATTTTGTCTGTTGGAAAATTCTAAAGAATGGGAGTGTACTGAATCAACGGAGTCTGAACATTTTAAATACTTTGGTTTATTATATTTTACATTTTATTTTATTGCATTTTACCAGTACTTACATAATGCTGGTCCCGTGTACCAGAAAGATTAAGTAACTTACATGTTCAGAGTCACACAGCTAGTAAGTGGCTGAGCAGGCTGGTGCCAGAGTCTGTGCTCTTTATGACTTTGCTGTGATACTTCTTTTGATGTACCTTACAGTTAGCTGTCTTGAAAAAGGTGGTAGCAGTTTTCAATCAGTTTCGCCACAACTTTACCAGTATTGGATGATAAAATCTTAAAACAACAACAGTAATTTACTAGATATAAAAGGATAATACCTGTCTTCTATAAAGTATTTGAGAAAGATAAATTTAAAAATAAAAAACTAAGTTAAAATTTTGTTCATTAAAAAAAGAAAGGCTTTTCTATATCACAGTTTTTTTACCACTGGAAATTTAAAAGTAAGAGAGAAATTGATGGAGGCTATTACTAAAGGAAAGTGGTATCTGTCCTAGAATGAATCATCTATCTTAAGGGACTGATCACATTGTATAATAACTTTGTTTGGCAAGTACTTTATATTAGAGATACTTAATTGTACAAAAAAAAAATCACAATTTGAGAGGAGCTTTGAGTTGTGGTGTTCGTGAGGAATATTGAATATACCATTGGCTGCCAAAAGAATGAACAAATTTATCCTGGAAGAAGTACAGCCAGAATGCTCCTTAGAAGAGAGGATTACAAGACTTTGTCTCACATACTTTGGACATGTTATCAGGAGGGACCAGTCCCTCATGCTTGGTATATTGGAGGGTCAGCGAGAAAGAGGAAGACCCTCAATGAGATGGATTGACACAGTGGCTGCAACAGTGAGCTCACACATAACAATGATCAAACGATCATGAGGATGGCGCAGGACTGGGCAGTGTTTCGTTTCTGTTGTACATAGGGTCACTGTGAGTTGGAAGTGGCTTGATGGCACCTACCAACAACAATAACAACTGTTAAAGGAAAATGGTATCTTGGAGAGTCCTAGAATGAATCTTCTGTCTTTAGGGACTGGTCACACTGTTTAATAACTTTGGCAAGTAGTTTATATTAGAGATCCTGAATCGTACCAAAAAAAAAAATCACAATTTGAGAGGAGCTTTCTATGTGTCAATGATAATTTTTAAAATTACATATTTGTTTAAAATGAATTTTCTAAATTATAAACGTGTAATATCTGCTCATAGTTGAAAATGAAAACCCATGCAGCAGAGTGTAAAGTGAAAAGTAAAAGCCTCCTCCTCCTTATCCCCTAACCTCAACCACCCACTTTCTCATCCACTCTTCCTGTTTTCCACTGATAACTACTGTTAACAATTTGTAAGAATTATTTTTGATGTCAAATTCTCATTTCCTCTTGTTTACTTTTTTGTTTATGTATTTTTTTCATGGTGCAGCTGTGAGTTCCTTGGTATTGTGAATATGCTTTTGAAATACGGAGCCCAGCTTAATGAACTTCATTTGGCCTACTGCCTGAAGTACGAGAAGCTGTCAGTCTTTCGCTACTTTTTGAAGAAAGGTTGTCCGTTGGCATCATGGAGCCATATATCTGAATTTATCAGTCATGCAATTAAAGCACAAGCAAGATACAAGGAGTGGTTGCCACATCTCCTGCTTGCGGGATTTGACCCACTGAATCTGCTATGCAGCTCTTGGTAAGAAATCATACCATAGTGGATGTTAGTCTTTTTGCATAAATGTACTACCTTTAATTGTCCCTGATTTGTTGAGATCGCTGTGTTGGGAGAAGGATGTGTGGGTGATGGCTGGATGGGCGTGTAGGAGTTGGGGGGGCTGGTAATGGTGAGCTTGAGTGTCAGGATACAGTCTTGTGAAAAGGTAAGAGGTGGCTGGAAGGGGATGGGAAGAGATGGATACCTGCAAACTGCTCTGAGAGGAGCATTTTCTCCTATGTCTGGCCGTCCTCACACTCTCTTAAAATGCCTTCGATGGAAGAAAGAACTGTTGGAGCTGCTTTGGAGATTTCTGTTATCCCTCAGTCTGCTAGATTGAATACTCCTGCCCTACAGCATCTTTTCTATTTGAAATTTGTCTCCCTTAATAAGTACTGATTCTGACGCAGCAGAAGACAGAACTTGTTTACTTCAGGTAGTTCCTCAGAAGGGCAGTCCTCTAAGAGTGATTATGTGAACATCGAGTCAGGATTTTTCTCGAGCGAGAAGAGAGACTGTGCCTACCAGCCTCCAGCCTTTGCAAAAGTTAATGTCCAGATGGAACTACTGAGAAGGTTACCATAGCAGTGAGAGGGCTCTCTACCTGATAATTCAAGTCAAGGGAGAAAATAGAAGGCTCTAGGAAAATGGAGGATATGGATGTTTTATAGAACTTCTTCCATAAAACATCTAGAAGGCTTCTTTTTGGTGCTTCAAGAACGACTGTTCACTAAAATAATGTTTAGACAAATACTGAGATTTTGCATTTCAGCAGAAAAGTTCTTTGATATCTTGTTGTTTGAACATTTCCTTTCAAAAGAGGTCCTCTTTGGGGGTCAGGTAGATTCTCTATCTTCAAGTGACAAATGGGTTTTTATTAGGCAGTATCCCACCTTTTCATTGTGTCTGGCATTACATGGAATTCAGGAATTTTCACTAAGCAGAGAGTTTATGCTTAGAACTATCATCTCTTTCTGAAATAGGAAGAATAAGTATTTCAGATATGTGCTTTATACGGAAAGACTTCTTTCTGGTAGATGATTTGTGAGGGTATAGACGTAAAAGCAAAACTGAGATATACGTTCAGATTTCCACCTCACTCTCTGTTCATCCTTACAGATTGCGTCCTTGAGGGTGTCTGCCCCTTTCCCCAGCAGCTGATTAATAGTTATTCAGCACATGTTCATTGTTGCAATTCCTTCCATACCTTTTCAATTCATTTTCACTAAAACCCAATCTAATTTTATTAAGTAATTGAGTGAAATATAAAGATTAGTGACAGTTCATTGAGAACACTTTTAAAAAGTTATTTGTATCAGCTTATTTTTCCTGACAACCCCTCCCCGCCACATACACTATTGAGATATAAACTCTAAATAGATGCTGTATTATTTGCTAGTAACAAAACAATTTAAAACCAAAAAAAAAAAAAAAAGCTATTTAAAAAAAACAAAGCTATTTAGGATACTCTTAACCATTTAGTGGGGCCCTGGTGGCACAGTGGTTAAGCGTTTGGCTATTAAACGAAAGGTCGGCAGTTCAAATCCACCAGCCGTTCTTTGGAAACCCAGTGGGGCGGTTCTGCTCTGTCCTATAGGTTCGCTGTGAGTTGGAATCAATTCGATGGCAACGGGTTTTGGTTTTGGTTTTTTAACCAATTAGTGAATTTCATGGTTGAGTCTGAACTCCTGACAGCCAGAAGCAGCTACCTCTCAACACACCAGGGTCCACTCTCTGGCTACTGCTGTAATTCCGTCCTACGCACGTGGGCAGCCGTGGACAGCCCTGACCATCGCTTCTTTCATTTCTTGCTCCACTGTGGATGCCTCCTGTCCCCAGGGTACCCACTTTCTTCCCAGCCATACTCATACTCTGCTAACTCTGACTAGGAATCTGGACGTCATACTACTTTCAGCCTTCGCACTCCCCTCTGGTTCCTAATTTATCTATGTATTCCTTTAACTAACACTTAGCATAGTGCCTACCGCATGCCAAAAAAAAAAAAAAAAAACCAAACCCAGTGCCATCAAGTCAGTTCTGACTCATAGTGACCCTATAGGACAGAGTGGAACTGCCCCACATGGTTTCCAAGGAGCGCCTGCTGGATTCGAACTAGCAACCTTTTGGTTAGCAGCTGAACTCTTTACCACTGTGCCGCCAGGGTTTCCCCTGGCACATAGTAAGCACTATTTTACGTTCTTTGCCACTGTTAGCTCATTTCATATAAAATGGAGTAGGTACTACTGTTATTTTACAGAGGAGGAAATTGAGGCGCAGAGTATTTAACATGTCTGCCCAGGATCACACAGCCAGTAAGTCCTGGAGCTTAGATATGAAGCTAGGCTGTCCTGTAGTGTGGCTCAAGTCTGCGCTCCTAACCACTTTGCCGTGCTGTCTGTGTATCCACAGGGATTGGCCATTGTCTCATTTAATTTTAGCTACCTTAATCCCTGGTGGAGCCCTGGAGCACAGTGGTTCAGAGCTCGATTGCTAACCAAGAGTTGACAGTTCCAATCCACCAGCTGCTCCTTGGAAACCCTTTGGGGCAGTTCTACTTACTTTGTTCTTTAGGGTCGCTGTGAGTCAGAATCGATTCAACTGCAACGGGTTTGGTTTTTTTTTTTTTTTGTAATCCCTGGTGGCACAGTGGTTAAGAGCTCGGCTGCTAACCAAAAGGTCAGCAATTCAAATCCACCAGCGGCTCCTTGGAAACCCTACGGGACAGTTCTTCTCTGGTGGCACAGTGGTTAAGAGCTCGGCTGCTAACCAAAAGGTCAGCAATTCAAATCCACCAGCGGCTCCTTGGAAACGCTACGGGACAGTTCTTCTCTGTCCTTTAGGTTCACTATGAGTCGGAATCTACTCAGTGACAACAGGTTTGATTTGTTGGTAATCTCTTGGTGGCATAATGGTTAAGAGTTCGGCTGCTAACCAAAACGGCAGTGTGAATCCGTCAGCCGCTCCTTGGAAACCCTATGGGCCAGTTCTCTTCTGTCCTATAGGATTGCTATGAGTCAAAATCGATTCAATGGCAATGGTTTTGTTTGTTCTTGTCTAACCTGGGGAACCTATGCCAAATTTCCTTGCTCCTTCCTGCAGCTAAATTAGGGAGAACTTATCCAGGGGAAAAAAAAGTAAACATTGCCTCTTTTCCTTTCCTTCCCAGCCAATTACGTGGACTTCTGGTAGGGAGAGGGAATTTTTTAGCTTTATTTTTCTGGAAAGTTTTGTAAAGTATACCCTCCCATCCCCAGTTCTGATATATCCCCCAAGTATGAAGAGCCCAGTTGATGATTTCTGAGGTACTAAGCCAGTAGGTGTGTTGTATTTATAGATGTGTTACGATAGAAAAGACTTGAAAACCAGTAAATTACAAATTATTTTGAACAAATTGTCGTGCTTTTAGCTATCTCTGAATTGAGAATGCCAACTGCATATATTTTAGTCTGAAGGAGTGACTTCAGCCACTTTATATTCATTAGAAAAAATACAACGGGAAATTTTACTTTTACAATGAAACTGCTTAACATGGTCAGATTTTTTTCACTGATCTTTTATTGAATGGATAAAGCCAGTGTCTAAGCTGAACATGATAAATATTTTGCTTTCTTTGATCAAATTTGCATTCAAAGAGCTGTTATAAGAAAAATCCCTCCTATAAAAATTCCAATATGTTGTTAAAGTGGATTTGATTTTATCTTAAATCACATATAAGTCTGTTGCCTAATCTTTGTCGTTTAAGTTATAAACGTTTTTCCTAGGTATTGCTTGTCTTAAACAGTCTTAAAAATGTATCTGGCGGAATAATTGCCTGTCACAATATAATCTACAAAGTTGAAGTATTTTTTCAGCTTTAAGTGCAAGGCTAGGTTTTCCTCCCCTTGGAATGTAATGGGAGAAGAATAGAAAGTGTCATCTTTGCGTTTAGTTGATTAACTGTCACTCGTTTCTGATGGGACAACTGCTCTGTGTAATGTAGTGGTCAGTGTAATACACTAACAGTCATTTTTAGTGGCATTATCAGCGTTGGTAAAATAAACTCACCTTTATATTAACTAAAGCTGTGCAAACAGGTTCGCTTCTCATGTGTGTTCAGATAACTCCGTAAAAATCACTCTGTGTTTGGTCTCAATCAGACCTAAAGCGCATTAAGGCAAAAATAATGAAACCATTGAAAGAGAAATAAGGAACCTGAACCAAGTATACTTTGGCATAGGGCCCCTAGAAGGCCAAGGAGATCGTTTGCCATTTAATATAGTTTTATCATGTCGTTATTCTCAGTCTTTTCTGGTAAGTTGTGATTTCACTGAGAGAGCTTCCTGAGAAATAAAATGATTTTCCAAGGCACTTGGGCTACACTCTAAGTTTTTCCCTGTATGTTTGCTTACTGAAGAATTAAGAACTTGGGAAATAATTTTCATACTCCCAAATCAGTGGTTTCAAGGATAATTTGCCTCTAAATTACCAAAATTAAGTTGTTTTTGAGATGACAAAGTATTACTCAGTTTTTTTCTTTCCATTTTTCTCTCTATATATTTTTTCCTTCTTTAGTACTTGCTGAGTAATATCTCCCAAAAAATAATGGCGCTTTTTAAAAACCTTGAGAAGTTCTGTATTAATTACTGGAGGCCTAACCATTTTATTTTTCTTCAAACAATACAGTGATAGGGGAGTATCTAATTGTGTACAAGATGGGTAATCATGTTAGAATTTAGAGTTCTCTTTAAGCTTTGACTAAATTTCATGTATATAATGTTCTGAGGCTTACTGAAAATGTAATACTCAAGTTTTCAAACCAGTTCTAGTAATTGCAAACATTTATATAACGCTGTATAGTTTTAAAAGCATGTTTACCATACTGTCTTATTTTATTTTCAGAAACGGTCTTCTGAGGTAGGCAAGAGAAGTATTATTCTCATTTTAGAGACCAGGTTCTAGGGCTTACAGAGTCTGGGAAATATGTCTGTAAGTAGTAGAGGTGGTGTTAGAAATCAGGACTTCTCTTAGGCCAGCGTTCTTTCCCTTAGGATTCAAGTGCTTATACAATTCAGGGAAGCCTCTTCCGGGTGGCTTGTAGGGAATCTGACATGATTTCTGAAGAACAGAGGAAGAACTGTTTGTCTTGAACCTCTTCTTTCAGTCCTTAAAACAAATTTTATTCTGCTGTATTCTTTAGGGCTGGGTCTATAGTGGAGAGTGTTTTTATAGGAGAACAGTTGTATGTTGTGCAGAAGTAATCCATCTCCAGTACATGCAGTACATCATGCTTGGACATCATGCTTGGTAAAGTAGAGGGTCAGCGAAAAAGAGGAAGGCCCTCAACAAAATGGACTGACACAGTGGCTGCAACAACAGGCTCAAACATAGCAACGATTGTGAGGATGGCGCAGGACCAGGCAGTGTTTCGTTCTGTTGTACGTAGGGTCCCTATGAGTTGGAACCGACTCGACAGCACCTAACAACAGCAACACCAGTACACTCAGTTTAGGAATAACTTTGGGTGTTTGAGCTTTATCTTTTCAGGGCTGTTAGATGACATGTCTGTAAGGATGGACAATGTAGATTCCACAAAATGGTCCAGTTGGAAGGAGATAATGGCAAATCCAGTGATGACACGGGTACTGTTTCTGTGTTTCTTCTCACCACTGCCGTTCGGGGATAGAAAGGAAAGTTCCTGGCCTCCGTGAGCATAGAGATTCGTCTTGTAATCTACTGGATAAATACTCACAGGTTCAACTGAGTTTGTAGCAGGAACCCGTAGGTGATGATTCACGTCCACTGGACTTGCTTCAAGTTGCATGAATACGTTCCGCGTCCCAGTTTTCTGTCTTCCTTCCTCATTCAGACATTGTGAGAATAGGTATGCAGTGTCTGTTGCTGGGACAAACCCTTGGTATATTTTGGGTCTGATGGCATGTTAATGTCTTGCTAATACAGGATCGACTCCGTCAGTGATGAGATCCTTGTCTTCACTTTGGAGTTTACTAATTGGAAGAGACTTCCACCAACTGTTGAAAAGACGCTCTCTGTTCATGCCTCAAGTTCCTCGTGGCTTTTGCAGCAACATCTTGGTAAGATAGTATAATTTTTTAACGCGCTTAACTTTTCTTCCTTCCTGAGCTATGTTGTCATTTTAAGTGAGAAGACTCATTAGAGAACATAAGATAAATTGGATTATAATTTGCATTTTCTTCCACAGGGAGAGGGTAGGCTTGTGAGATGATAGGAATTTCCTTCAACAGAAATCTTATCTGGTTTTAGAAGTTTAGCCTTTGGAGCATATGAGGAAAATGAGGTGTTTACTGACATTTTTATTTAAAGACATCTTTTTATTTTTAATAAGGCTACTGTAAAGTGAGTCCTAAAAGTCTGGTTAGTGAATATTTAGCTTGTGGTCAGAAAAATGTGAAACTTAATTTTCCTCTTTGGACTGCGTGTGGAGTTGTGTTCCCTCTGCAGTATTTTATCACCGCTAAAAAGCATTACGATCCTTTATTCGTACTCGTGCTTATTGAATGTGTGCCAGTGTGTTGGTGTGATTTGACTGCGGAGATGAACTGGGTGAACGTTTTGTGAGCTGACTGATACTTTAAATGACTGTAAAACAAATTCTCAACTTATTCTCACTTATTAAAAAGGTTTTAAGCTAGTTAAAAAAAAGTAAAGAACACACAGTGGGGGGAGATTTGGCACAAGGAAACCACCTTAAGCTAAACAATACATACCAAGTATTCCTATTTACTTATTCAAATTTATTTTACTGTGACTATATTTTGTTAAGCAGCTTATACATCTTAAGTTAGAAAAATTGCTTCTTCACTGCTATTTTTACATGAAATACAACTCTTCATAAAACATTTTCAATAGGCTTTTAACAAGTGAACTTATGCATATGTAGAAATATATCTTCTAATCTCTTAGAAAATTACATTTAAGTAAATTTTCTCAATCAAAAACAGACATTCAGGAAAATACACTCTTGAACTGAGGTGTATCCAGACAGATTTCTGTTGAAGAAAAAAAGTAATCTGTTTGGTGTCTCTGAGCCCTCCAATATAGAATTCCTTTAATGATAGTGTTAGAAGACTCACTTGGTGTAATTCTTAATCTTGAACACTACATCTGGTTTTACTAATTATGTGTCTGCAGCAGTAGAGAGCAAGTATCTATTCAGAACAGATAGAATGTGGGACAATGGATTTGGGAACAAAGAATCAAAAGAGGGTGCATATGCCAAATGGGAAAATTCTTGCAGCTTATCAATTAGTAAAGACATGTGCAAGCTTACTCTGAAGACCTTAACATATGGCACGTTTGTCCAGATGAAGGCAAAAGTTGTGCACAAGTACATTACACTCCAAGAGACTACATCCATCAAGGATTTCTTGTTCAATTAGGCACTAGGTAGAGCCTGTGTAGTGTAATAATCATCGTCTCTTAAGAGGATTTTATTTTGGCTGAAGATTTGAAAAAGCCTTTCTCAGAGGTATTAATCCAGCTAATGCTTTTCTGGTTAATTTCTTTAGCCAACTCCTCTTTTCCTGCTTCTACATCCTTATATCCAACCGCCTTTTGGACAACTCCGGTTGGTATCCCATATTTGATGTATTCAAAATTGAACTTATTTTATTTTTTGACAAATCCTAGTGTTCCTTTTGCCTGTTTCTGATTCAGGAGATGAGGTGGTTTGGGAGTGCCATTTACCAAGAGAGTGCGTTATCCCTGGCAGCTGTTTGTTACTTGTTTCATCCACAACAGTGGTTTTAATGGGGTGATTTTGCCCCCCAGGGAACATTTGGCAATGTCTGCAAACGCTTTTTGATGGTCACACAAGGGGAGGGCTGCTGCTGGCATCTAGTGGGTAGAGGCCAGGGCTAAACATCCTACAATGCACAGGACGACCCTTCCCCAACAGAGAACTATCCAGCCCCACATTACGATAGTACAAAATTTGAGAAACCCTGATCCACAACGGCCTTGTTTCCCAGTCTTGAAAAGGCTTCTAAACGTGAACCTGGGAAAGATTTTTAACCCTTTCTTTATTGCAAACTACGTAGGCAAAGCGTGTGTTCTTCCTCCTAGTTCTGTTGGTCTCTCGGATATTCTTTTAGTTTTTCTGCAGAGGTGGAGTCATTATGCTGCTAGAATTTTAGTAGGGCTGGGAGGAAAGGATCTACCCATCTACTCAGTTGGCTGAGTTCCCAATGGGATTGTGATTCTCTTCCTTTCTATAGTTCAGGGGTCTCTCGGGGCACCCAGCTCCCTTTTTCTCTTGGATTTTCAAGACCCTCAGTTTCTGCATGTTGGTCATCTGCCCTCCTCCCTCCTGCCCCTGGAGTTTGAGCTGCAGGATTAGGATCTCTAGGAAACAAACGAGGTCAGGTTCAGCATTAACGGGAGTGAGCCCAGGACAGCTCCTCAGTTACCCCTCTAGATGTACGACAGTCTTTCTTTCACCCTGCTTTCTCCAGTAACTTATCGCGGTGTTAATAACTGCCTTAGGTGTGCCAGCATCTCTCCCTAGGGAAAGATTTCTCCATTTATTTTCTAAGCCTCTTTCAAGTCCTGGAGATGCCATGTACTTGGTCAAAATTCTCCTTTCCTCACCCTTTTCCTCCGAGGAAGTAGACCACCTGCCTTAGCAGTTTATAAGCAAAAAGACCACCAGCTCCTTGCTGCTCATCTTTTAATCATTGAGTCAGATTTGTCTTCAAAAAGTTTCTTGCATCAGAACGGAAATGTATCCAGGTAAAATTTACTGAGCGGTTGCAGCTCTACTAACATCATCTGCCTTATATATGCCTCTTAGAAATGTCAGCTCAACCACATAGCAGCAGACTTCTTAATTAAAAAATTCACCAACCCTAGCCAGCTACCCACGATCAAGTCTATGTAATTAAATTCTTATGGATAAAGCACTTGGCGTCAGCTCATCCTGAACCTTTAATTATCAAACATGTACAGTTCTATCCAGAGTGCTGTTGGGATCTAAGTCCTACAGAGGATCCTGAGAAAACCCTCTTGATCTGTTTATTTCAGTGTCCCCTGTTTTGTTCTAAAAGGAATTCAAAACAGTTTATGAGTGCGTATTATCACGAGACAGTAAAATGGGAGTTAAAAGTGGAAACACAAGAAAAATGACAAAGGTGGAAGTGAATGTAAAATGGAGTCACGGAAAGCATAATCATAGTGATCTGAAGCTTGTCTGCGGATAGTCCATAAAATGGGCTCTGAGCCTACTAGTCATTGATTTTAGGTGGAGGTGGTGGTGGGTTGTTGCCTTTGAGTCAATTCCAACTCATAGCGACCGCATGTGACCATAGTGTTTTCTTGGCTGTCATCTTTGTGGAAGCAGATCACCACATCTTCCTCCTGCAAAGTTCCCAATTTGAACAGAAAACCTTTTGGTTAGCCGCCGAGTGCTTAACCATTGCACTACCAGGACTCCTTGACCCTGGGCTAGATTTCAGGATATCTGAAGGAATGAATGACCTCTGTGCCCTTTAGCAATTCTCTTTAAATATTGTTTCTCTCAATTTTTTATAGTAGTAGGTAGCAACGAGGAGCCCTGGTGGTGTAGCGGTTAAGTGCTCAGTTGCTAACCATAAGGTTGGGGGTTTGAATCCACCAGCCACCCCGCAGGATAAAGATGTGGCAGTCTGCTTCCATAGAGATTGACAGCCTTGGAAACCCAACTGGGTCACTGAGTTGGAATCAACTCAACGGCAAAGGGTTTGGTTTGGTTTTCGGTAAGATGTGTCAGAGTACAGCTATTTTGTGTTGCAAGTTGAGTTGAAAACATTTTTAAGAGACGGTTGTAAAAGTAGAAACGAGAAAAATGAGAAAGAAACGTCTGGTTTGTGATAGGGCAGGTATTCGTTTGTGAAACCCGAGGACCAGTAAGAGGGACTTGTTTCTAAATCTGGTGGGCTGAGCAAGCCAGGGTTCCTGAGAACCCAGCTGTGGGCAGTGCTGCTTCCTGTGAGTCCCTCCAGGTCAACCATGTGTGGTGAGAACACAAGCCAGTCAACTCCATGTGGCAGCTTGCTTTATGGGACCGTTACGCTTACAGTTAAATTTTGGGAAATTACTACTGGAAACAGAATTTAGGTTTAGGAATAGTTCCTCTCTAATCCTATTTACAAGGAGCCCTGGTGCCTCAGTGTTTAAATACTTGGCTGCTAACTAAACCCACTAGCTGCTCTGCAGGAGAAAAGGCCTCGCAGTCTGCTTCCTTAAAGATTACAGCCTAGGAAACCCTATGGGGCGGTTCTGCTCTGTCCTGTATGGTCGCCGTGAGCTGGAATCGACTCAGCGGCACACAACAACAGGAACAGCAATCCTCCTTTCTGGTAGTAATTAACTAGTAGGCTAATCGTCTGCTCAAGCCATTCCTAATTTGGGGTAATAAAACGTTGGTGTTTAAAAGAATACATTCTATAGCAAGGGCATATATCTTGCTCAAAGATAGTTTCATATCATTAAGTTACTTGTTAAAAAGATGGGGGAAGGTAAGGCTCAACCTTATTTTATGCCAGTGAAAAAATTTAACTTCTCTGCTGACTTCAAGTCTCATGGTAATGAAATGATGTGGGCTCTGCATGGACACCGGAACAAACCCCAAAACCCATTGCCATCAATTCCGACTCATAGTGACCCTACAGGGCAGAGTAGAATTTCGCCGTAGGGTTTCCAGGGAGCGACATGGACACAAGATAGAGCGTAATAGTTAGAAGTTGAAGCTCTGGAATTAAACAGACATGTCTCCATCACTTTCTAGCTATGGAAAAGTTACTGATGTCTCTGAGCCTTAGATTCCTAAATTATAAAACCAAACCAAACCCGCTGCCATCGAGTCGATTCCAACTCATAGTGACCCTATAAGTGCAGAGTAGAACTGCCCCATAGGGTTTCCAAGAAGTGATTCGTGGATTCAAACTGCCGACCGTTTGGTTAGCAGCCAAACGCTTAACCACTGCGCCACCAGGGTAATAGTAGTACTTGCCTCCCATCATCTTCATCACAGATATTGTCCTTGTGGCGGAGACAGACCTCAGTTAACTGAGTTTCT